TAAATAAAAATTTTTAAAAAATAAAAAAATTTAAAAAAATAAAAACCAAGTTCTGCCTCACAGAATTGTTATAGTTAAAGAGATGGGCCTCAGTGTGGAGAAAATCCTGACTCCCCACACAGGATGCACACCTACTGTTTCAACTATTCTTCTCACCTCAAATATATTGTGCTGCCTCTGCACCTGGATTTCCAGCGAATATGTGAGGTTGAGCAGCCCCTTGTCAGCCAAGAGTTCCAGGTTCTCAGGCAGAGGTCCTTGAAAGATCAACTTCTCACCATAAGCCACAGCCCGGGCCCCCAAGTGCAGCCTGTAGGCCACCGTCTGTTTGTCTCGAGGGTGGATGCTATAGGACAAAGAACAAGTAGAGAACTTTGGGTTTGAGCTCAACAGTAACCACACTTTAAAAAGGGGGGGGAGGGGAATTAGGAAGGTAAGAATAAAGTTGACTGAATCTAATAGCCAGTGATCAGTGGCTCGTCAATTTAGGAGACATGGTGAATGGTGACCATAAGTGGGGCTCTGGGCCTCCTATGGGTTAGAAACCTTGAAAACGCAGATGACTTCGAAGGTAGGAATAAAGGCCCCTGCGGGAGGGAGGAAAGGCACTGGAGGAGAGCTAAACTCAAAATTATTCGAGCCACTGAAAGCGCTGTGTTTCATCTGAATCCATTGTTCATTACTGGGTCCCCTCCAGGTTTTATTCATTCAATCAATCAATCTCCATTTGTTCAAAAATAAGTATCTGTTCAAGTTCCTACTATAAACCAGACACTACGTCTTGGGCCCCATTTCATTGCCAATCCCCCTCGCATCCCACAGCTAGTGCGCGGTGGCCACCGGGGCCATTCAGAGAGCCCATTCCTCCCCGAGCTCAGGGAAGGGTCCCATTTCCTGCTCGCGCTGAAGCCCCGCAGAGCCCTATGACCTGTTGTGGCCAATGCGATGTGAGCAGAAGTTACTTCCATCACCAGGGGGAGACGTGAAGGTGAGGGAAGCACGGGTCAACTCGGAATCTCCGTCACTCCGGATCTGTGAATGACTCTAATGAGCAAAGCCTCTCTGATGACCTCTGTGGGCCTTCTTTGGACATGTGGGGTGAACAAGAAATAAAATGTTGCTGCATCAAGCACTGAGATGTTGAGAGTTTTAGTTACTGCAGCACATGCCAGTGTAAATGATTGACAGACACTGCCCCGAGGGTCCAGTCCTTAGAGCACCCACTCTCTGCCCCTCACAAGTGAACATCAGAGTGAAGGCTACGGACAAAGAACAGACAGTATTGCTCAAGCAAAGCCCAAGACGCACCCGTACCTGCCAAAAGGTGACTTCCTGTCACAGAGATCCATTGCTACCGCCATGAAAGTGCTGGGCATCCTTGCGTTGGGGACATAGCCGAAGTCTGCGGTTTGATGCCACCGGATCTGGGGAAATGTGTCATCTGAGGTTGCAGACAGATATGAAGATAACTGGAAAGTAGAGAATGTTGCATCAGAATCCTGTCCTAGAGTCTTCTTCATAAGCAGACTCTGCTTCTGCTTCTTTCATTCGTTCAAATGCTCATTCGACAAGTACTCAGTGAGCTTCCTCCTGTTGTGGCTGAACACCCCTCCCCCCACACGCCAGTGTGTCTGTGACACCCCTCTTGTCAAGAGCTGGAGTCTATTTCTCCTCCCACTGAATCTGGGCTAAGCCTGCGATGTTCTCTGACCAGCCGAACGCAGTAGAAGTGATGCCATTGCTCCAAGTGGCCCTGCCTTCGGATTTCATTCTCTTGGAACCTGGAGATGGCCAGGTAAAAACAGTCCAGCTACCCTGCTGGAGAAATTACCTGGAGACGGGGGCCTTGGACATGGGAAGATCCTTAAGAGAGAGAGGGGCTAACGTCCCCATGGGCTCAGCCGAGGGGCCAGTCCCATGAATGCTCGAGACTTCAATTCAAACTGCAGCCACGTGAGCAAGCCGGGCTGACATCACACGGAGCAGAGCTGAGCCGTCCCAGTTGAGCCCTGCCTGGCCAACCCATGGCATCATGAGCAAATACAATGGCTGACGTTTTAAAGCCACTAAGTTTTGGGGTTGTTTGTTACAAAGCAACAGGTAACTGATACATCTATCTATAACACGTTTAAGCGCTACAGGGAAGCTGAGAGCAATCTGCCCATGAGCATGTGGAAAATTGCATCAAAGACCCCAATTCTTCACCCCTTCCTACAACCACACTTTCCTGCCATCTGGCTTTGTGGTTTCTCCCAGGAAGAGAAAGAGTGTATTTCCCCACCACTTTCTAAGGTGGTTTGTTTTGGTCAACAGACTGAAACAGAAGTTACGGCGCATCAGTTCCTAGCCTCAGCCTCCAAAGACCTGTGGGGTTCCACTTGCTCTTTCACGTTTCTGCTGTCAGGACAATGACATGCCTGGGCTAGCCCGCAGCTCTCTACAGAAGGATGAGCGCTGTGGGACAGAGCTTCCTCATCTAACCCACTCCAGCCAAGCCCAAGTGAGAGCCCCCACCTGCCTCTGACCCACAGAGATATGAAAGAGTTCAGTGGAGCTCAGCCAAGATCAACCCAGCCCCAGCTACCCACACATGGGAGCTATGATAAATGTTATGTTAAGCCACGGAGTTTTGAGGCGATTTGTTACATAGCGACAGCTAACGGTACAAGTACTTCACAGCTTTGTTGAGGGGACAGACCTGTACATAAGAAATGTTAATAAACAGCTATATAAAACAGCATGGATTAAGTGCTAACGTCGGAGGCACAGACAGCACGTACTCTGCACTAGGACAAAGTTTGTTATTATAAGACAACAGGGCCTCAGAATATGTTAAAAAAAAAAAAAAAAAA